AAATATAATAAGATTATGCAATAATATTGATAAGTAAATAGGTTGATATAATCTGAACATTTAGTGCAGAAAGGTTACTAATGATGTCATGACAATATTGAAATTGACATATTTGACCTAAAAATGAAAAATAAGGAGATGTGGTATGATTTCCAAATGACAAAACTATCCACCAAATTCCAAAATAATGTGGATGTAAGGAACTATAAATCCTCAAAATTACAGCCTTAAACAATGAACAAAACCCATACTATGCAGTCAGCTATGAAAGGTCCTGACAAAGTAAAATATCAAACAGTTCAAACACAAGAAAACCAACAATACATGTTTAAAGGCACAAAAAAGAACTTACAGAAAGACAAAAGACCCAAAGTACCAATCTAAGAGTACTTGCAGTTACCAATCTTAAAGAGTACTCACAGTTACTGAAAATTACTTCAAAGCCAATAACAACTAATAAATTAATCATGTTCTCCCAGATTAAGATTTTTCAGTACACATCAAACAGATTTAGTGTAAAGAAATAGTCTGAGAAAAACACGAACTTGTGCAAGGCCAAAATATAGGTGTATATTATCGACAGGATGTTGAACCATAAGATCTCAAAATTAATTCTTTTTTTAGCTTTCCTGGCCGGATGTGAGCTTTTGCCATCACTTGGCATCTGTCATCTGTTGTTGTCATTCCTTGTCATCAGTGGTTAACTTTTACAAAGATCCTCTCCTCTGAAACTACTTAATCAAAGAAGTAGGTCCAAAGAAGTGCATCAGGTACTAGCATTATAAATTCATTCAAAATTACTGAAATCTTCACAATTTTAGCATTTGTGCTAATTTTACGACGGTTTTGTCTAAAATGGAAGTGGCTGCATTTGTGTTCAGTCTTAATATTTAAATATATGTTGTATTTGATGATAATACATAACATATATAAAGGTTGAGACTGAACACGAATGTGGCCTCCAACATTTTAGGCAAAAACCATCTGAAAAGTGATGCTTTATAGCATATTTGATAGATTTTTCATGTGTAAGCTTGAATTTGAACTTCTTTAATGACCAAAATCAGTTCAAATCTTTTACATAAACTAATTGAATTGACTGAAGTGGACACTTAAGTGTTTAAAACATGTCAAAAAGCTTTCATCTGATGTACTTCGAATTTTAGGCTAAAACTAGCCCTTACCAGACCTTCTCCTTTAACCAAACTTGGCCACAATCATTAATGGAGTATCTAGTTTCAAAATGTATCTGATGACCCAGCCTTACAACAAACATGGCTTACATGGCTGAAAATAGAACATAGGGAGTAAAATGCATTTTTTGTCCATTATCTTGAAAATATAGTTAGAAAAAATCTGACAGGTGCAAAAATGTTCAGAATGATGAGATCCACGTAATGTCTTTTGACATCAAAACTGTCTGACAACTTCTTATAGGAGTTATTGCCCTTAAACACAATTTTTTTTCCAATTTTGATTCGTTTTTGCGTATTATCTCAAAAATTGTAATAAGATAAAAACTTTAAATAGCAAAAATGATCAGCAAGACAAGATCTACAAGCAATTCAAATTTTACCAAAATCTTTAGCAGACTCTTTATAGGAGTGATTGCTTTTAAATGAAAATTTTTTCAGATTGGCCAAAACTAAAGAAGATAGAGAGAAACTGTCAACAAAAAATGTAAACAGTAATGCAAGATCAACAAAAAAAGAAATTTTGTAATGAATTCCATTCTAGTCTATAATAGTCCATTGTTGAAGATGCACATAGACCTATGTGAGCCTCTAGTTTTGGTTTTATCTCTTTAGCACTTCAGTGGTTGTATTAGGTTTTGGACTTTCAAATATTTTGGCCTCGAGGATCACTGAAGAGACATTGATTGTTGAAATGTGCATCTGTTGCAGTAAAATTGGTACAATGAATGTAAATATAACACTTTTTAATATTTAACATTGATATGGATTCATTTTCATATAACAAAATAAATAATTACAATCAAAGTATAAAAAATGAAATTTTTAGTACCAAGCTAAATAGAAAAATACAATTTATATTTGTGAATAAATAAGAAAAAGGAAAAATGTTAAATTTCTCACAGATTCTCAAATGTAATTGAAAAGTCATTCATAATTACATGTCAGAAAGATAATGTTATTCTTTTCTTTTAATTACATATAATTGAAAATATGCTCAATTACACCTTACTTTAAAAATGGTATTTATAACAGGTAATTACAATTTCATTTATAATTACGCCAGCTAGTTTGGAAACAACAGAAACATTGGTCTATATATGTAATGCATCATATAATAGAAAAGAAAAGATATAGGGTAATCATCCATTACACAAAATCAATACATGCACAGCAACAAACACAATCAAAGTACTGAAGTACTGAACATCGGATGACCACAAGTTCTTGAGGATGGTCAAAAGCACTTGTCTCAGAAAAAAACAACATATCTCTTTACCTGAAACTGAGGTTAATGTACAGAGATATATTTTTTTCTGAGACAAGTTCGTGCGTGGATGATGAATAAATGACAGGAAATTCAGCTTCACCATAATAACTATTATATTGTAGTGATACAAATCAGTATACATGGTGGACACTTTTCTGTAAAAATTCGATTTTTCTAAGATTGGATACGAGTAGGCATTCATATTTTCCCGCAAAAACAATTACAGAGTTACCGGTCCTCGCAAAAAGTTCTCTGAGATATTCTTCCGCATGCTTTAACACAATTTTTCGGTACGTCTGCATTGATATTATCAATGATTTTTTACTTATATATATATATCGAACTACAAAACATTTTCATATTATTAATTTATGTTGTAAACAAAAATATTTTTATCAGTATTCATTGAAGAGATGTATTTATATCAAACGATAAGGAATGTTATTTTGCATTCGTTTATGTGCGCATATTTATCATGTTTATAGATCGGTTACAAACCCAAAACTAATTTACATAATGGAAATCTAGGCGATAGCAATACATCTGAATGACCCCAAGGTCATCGCGATGTAAAAAGCAAAGGAACAGTGCTTTTATTGCTGTTCTTTATCTCAAAGTCACAGTAAGGCCTTCAACACAGAGCAAAAAGTCTCACCTCACTGCAAGTTTTAGATGTCTCCTAGCACTGGTTGGGCACTACAGGCTTCTTGAAACCTTTAGATTATTTTTCTAGTCAACTTGTGTGTAACTTTATAATGGAGGATTGTTTCTTTGTGTTAATACAAAGAATAGTCTACATAGATATTAGATAATGAGGAGGTTTGTGGATCCAGAACTAATTAGGGCCCCGCCAAATGGCGGACGCCCTATAGTGATCTTCCGTCCGTCCGTCCTTAACAAATTGTGTCCGCTCTATATCTAGAGAACCGTTATGATTTCAAAGTTTATACTTGACATGTATATTAACCAACACCAGAGGGTGTGTCATAATGTATGTTCAACTTCCTAGGTCAAAGGTCATGGTCAAAAACTTTGGTTTTAGTTGACAACCCCATGTTCTATGGTAAAGATCGTGTCCACTCTATATCTTGAGAACAGTTATGATTTCAAAGTTTATACTTGATATGTATATAAACCAACACCAGAGGGTGTGTCATAATTCATGTAAAACTTCTTAGGTCAAAGGTCAAGATACAAATTTTTTACCACACATTATTCACAGCGGGGCCCACAGAGATGGCTCCCATCTCAATGATATCTAGTTCTACCTATTGCCATGTTGTTCAATATATGTTGCATTCTTTGAGGGTCTTTACAAGTTGGCTGATTGTGGTCACATTGATTTGGGATTGTATCAAGATCTAGCAAGTTAGGCTATCTAGCCCATATTATTTTTATTGTTTGTAAGTGTTGTTCTTTCTATTATGTTAGACAGGTGATGGTTGGTTCAGTTTGCTGGTTTGTGCAATACTATATTTAGAAAATTCCTGATAACATTTTACACATTATACCCGGGTATATATATAATTATATATAATTACTGTAAATATCAGCACAACAATGTTAAATCTGCAAATTTGCAGAAGCAAATTTTTGTTCTTCCCTCGCCAGGATTATATATAAATAAATAACATAACACAACTTATTAGTTCTTAAAATTAGGGTTTATTGCAAAGTTTGAATAAAAACATCTTGAAAACCGAGTTATTAAAGATAGCTGTTTTACATTAATAATGTCTCTACAATATATTGTCTTTCAGGGTCAGTATTGCCTTTAGAATGGGAAATGTAGTTCTCTACAATATATTGTCTTTCAGGGTCAGTATTGCCTTGAGAATGGGAAATGTAGTTCTCTACAATATATTGTCTTTCAGGGTCAGTATTACCTTGAGAATGGGAAATGTAGTTCTCTACAATATATTGTCTTTCAGGGTCAGTATTGCCTTGAGAATGGGAAATGTAGTTCTCTACAATATATTGTCTTTCAGGGTCAGTATTACCTTGAGAATGGGAAATGTAGTTCTCTACAATATATTGTCTTTCAGGGTCAGTATTACCTTGAGAATGGGAAATGTAGTTCTCTACAATATATTGTCTTTCAGGGTCAGTATTACCTTGAGAATGGGAAATGTAGTTCTCTACAATATATTGTCTTTCAGGGTCAGTATTGCCTTGAGAATGGGAAATGTAGTTCTCTACAATATATTGTCTTTCAGGGTCAGTATTACCTTGAGAATGGGAAATGTAGTTCTCTACAATATATTGTCTTTCAGGGTCAGTATTGCCTTGAGAATGGGAAATGTAGTTCTCTACAATATATTGTCTTTCAGGGTCAGTATTACCTTGAGAATGGGAAATGTAGTTCTCTACAATATATTGTCTTTCAGGGTCAGTATTGCCTTGAGAATGGGAAATGTAGTTCTCTACAATATATTGTCTTTCAGGGTCAGTATTGCCTTTAGAATGGGAAATGTAGTTAACGTCTAATGGAACTAATGTATTAGAATCAAAGGAAGCAAGTAAAATAGAGATCAAAACCTAAAAAGAAATAAATCTTAAGAAGTTGAAGGTAAATCAGCTATAGATACAGTAGAATTACATAACCTCAAAAATACTTCAACAGAGAAACAAAGGTAAAATAGACACTTTAGAAATATCTTCTGTCAACTCTGTCAAAATGGAAAATGGTATCCATGATGATCAGAAACCTGAAAATGATATGACTGAAAAGCTGAAAGTGACTGATGAAGGGAGTGTTAAAACAGGGGATGCAATTAGTGTAAAAAATGTAGAAAATACTGTTGAAGAAGATGGTGACAAAACAGGGGAGATAAATGGGGAAGATAGGGTTTCCATTCCAGACTACACTCCACCACAATCAGCTGATGCTTCATTTTCAGCAGATGCAGATAATGAGGGAGATAATAAGAAGTTAGATAATGATCCATTGGTAGATCAAACAACAAATGATACAAATGGGACAGATGAATCTCCAGTAAGACCAACCACTAGTGAAAAAGTTACAAGGCCAACCACTGCAGATGACACCAATGAAATGTCAGGTCAGAGGTCAAGGTCAGGAAGTGATAGCCAAGTTCCTGATCCTGTCCTAAAAACGGAAGAACCTGACAGACCAGACTCCTCGTCAAGTGAAGAAACAGGTTCATGGATATCAAGCTCATCAAGTGACCAGTCAGTCAAGGATTCAGAAGCTCAGACTAAGGAAGGTAAGGGCAAAGGTCATAAACTAGGTCAGGCAAGAAGAGTTAATTCAATAATTCAGTTTATACATTAATCTGATTGGAAACACTTGTTATTAATGTTACGTCATATTTCATGTTCACATTCCAAAATCAATAACATTTAAATACATTTGTAATACATTGTTTATTCAGGTAAACAACTGACCGGGATTGAATAAGGGATTGAATAAGATATTTAAATTAGAATTCTTAATTTGATGAAATTTGATAAAACTATAATTCGATACTTTTAGCTCATTGATTAATTTGGATGAATGAATTTTTGGTTCTGATAAATGTATTTGTTTTCGTAAGAACTTTCTGTCATATCATAGATATATACATGTACATGTATATCATTTACAAAATCAATATATATTTATCAGTAAAATGTTACAAATCAAATGTTTTGCGACGTCACTAGACACCATGAAATAATTGACCATTTAAAGTTTAAATATGATATTTTCTTAAAAGTCCAATATGAAATAAACACTGTCATTGTGTATTTAACTGATTTTAAAAGATATCTTTTAAGCAATTTGCACAATTTTGTCCAAGATTTGGTTATTATGACAACTTTTAAGCATTAAAGAGGTAGGCATTTTAATTTGTTATATAATTGTACAAAAACTATAAATATAAGTTACTAGATCAGTATATAAATAAAGAATTTATTTATTTATTATTAATTTTATATTATTGTGTTTCTCTGAATCAGGATAGGACAGATATCAATTAAAATAATGATGTACCATTAGCCATTTAAACCAATTTCTGGACATGGAAGTTCAAAAAATAGCACTATTTATTATCTTGTGTTTTGTTTGACTCCACTGACATTCAACAGTTATCGTAGATGATTTTGAGGAAAACTTGACATTATTTATTTCTGATTTTTGTTTCCCTTCCAGTCGCTTGCTGTCCACTTATTAATATGTATATCATTATTTTAAATAAAAGATGGTGATAACAAAATATTAGATAATGATCTTTTACAGGACTATTAAAAACATTTGTTGGAGATATGTTGGTCCCGTTTTCACATTCATTTTAACCAATTCTATGATGAGAAATGATTGTTGGTTGCTTAACGTCCAAAGGCAAATATTTCATGCATGTTCAAGATGACTATGATGAGAAATGATTCCTAGTAATTTCTCCTCATCACATGCCAGTTGATTTGCCAGAGAGATTGCAATCTAACATTCTGTTATATCATGATCAATCATAGTTAATAATGCTGAAGGGAGTTAACTCTGTGTAAGTAAACAGTACTTTTTGATAGTTACAAAATGGAAAAGATTATATCAGCAGAGACCCAAAATTCCAAAACAGACATCAATTCCTGTTTTGACTATTAAATACTTTGTGTGGAATATAGTGACTCAAAAATTTGATCAAATGAATAGTTCCATCTATCTCAAATATTAACAGAAAACAGAAAATTAAGAAATTAAGAAATGGTAATGTTTTCCTTTGATATGACTACAGTTATTGTCTATCTATCAACAGCTATTTGATACATCTAGAAGTACTGTGGATTTATAGAGTATCGTTGATCATCTCAACGTGATTGATTTTCCCGCTTGAGCCGGTACGGCGAAAGTGAGAAACGCAATCGAGTTGAGATGACCAATGATAATCTGTTCATCGCTATTTTACCTATGACGACGTTGTCAATTTCATAAGCAACGCCACGTGTCCCCTTAGTTTCCAGCGATAATTTTTTATATCACTCGACTCCACTGAGAAAGGAAAATTTCGTAAAATAGCGATAATTATTATTATTAGTGGAATACCAATTTCTAAAGGATGTAGTGGGTAAAGGTGAACTACGAATTTTAAAGTACACATTTCTATAGGCTTCTTTTTGCTTTTATGCAGACTTTAGCAAAACCAAAAAATCAGATATCTACAAAAATACAAGTTTTCCTCAATCCATGAAAATTAGTATCCCTGAAAATAAATGAATCCACAGTAAAAGCTTTACTGTAGGATTTGTGTCATAAGGCTATTTATCTGGTGAAGTACTCTGTAGGATTTGTGTCATAAGGCTATTTATCTGGTGAAGTACTCTGTAGGATTTGTGTCATGAGGCTATTTATCTGGTGAAGTACTCTGCAGGATTTGTGTCATGAGGCTATTTATCTGGTGAAGTACTCTGTAGGATTTGTGTCATGAGGCTATTGATCTGGTGAAGTACACTGTAGGATTTGTGTCATGAGGCTATTTATCTGGTGAAGTTCTCTGTAGGATTTGTGTCATAAGGCTATTGATCTGGTGAAGTACACTGTAGGATTTGTGAAATTAGGCTATTTATCTAGTGAAGTACTCTGTAGGATTTGTGTCATGAGGCTATTGATCTGGTGAAGTACACTGTAGGATTTGTGTCATGAGGCTATTTATCTGGTGAAGTACTCTGTAGGATTTGTGTCATAAGGCTATTTATCTGGTGAAGTACTCTGTAGGATTTGTGTCATGAGGCTATTTATCTGGTGAAGTACTCTGTAGGATTTGTGTCATAAGGCTATTAATCTGGTGAAGTACTCTGTAGGATTTTGTGTCATAAGGCTATTTATCTGGTGAAGTACACTGTAGGATTTGTATCATAAGGCAGTTTATCTGGTGAAGAACTCTGTAGGATTTGTGTCATAAGACAGTTTATCTGGTGAAGTACTCTGTAGGATTTGTGTCATAAGGCTATTTATCTGGTGAAGTACTCTGTAGGATTTGTGTCATGAGGCTATTCATCAGAAGTATACTGTAGGATTTGTGTCATAAGGCTATTTATCTGGTGAAGTACTCTGTAGGATTTGTGTCATGAGGTTATTTATCTGGTGAAGTACTCTGTAGGATTTGTGTCATGAGGCTATTTATCAGGTGAAGTACTCTGTAGGATTTGTGTCATGAGGCTATTCATCTGAAGTACACTGTAGGATTTGTGTCATAAGGCTATTTATCTGGTGAAATTCTCTGTAGGATTTGTGTCATGAGGCTGTTTATCTGGTGAAGTACTCTGTAGGATTTGTGTCATGAGGTTATTTATCTGGTGAAGTACACTGAAGTACTCTGTAGGTTTGTGTCATGAGGCTTTTTATCTGGTGAAGTACTCTGTAGGATTTGTGTCATGGGTTTATTTATCTGGTGACATACTCTGTAGGATTTGTGTCATGGGGTTATCTATCTGGTGAAGTACTCTGTAGGATTTGTGTCATAATGCTATTTATCTGGTGAAGTACTCTGTAGGATTTGTGTCATAAGGCTATTTATCTGGTGAAGTACTCTGTAGGATTTGTGTCATAAGGCTGTTTATCTGGTGAAGTACTCTGTAGGATTTGTGTCATGAGGCTATTTATCTGGTGAAGTACTCTGTAGGATTTGTGTCATAAGGCTATTTATCTGGTGAAGTACTCTGTAGGATTTGTGTCATAAGGCTGTTTATCTGGTGAAGTACTCTGTAGGATTTGTGTCATGAGGCTATTTATCTGGTGAAGTACTCTGTAGGATTTGTGTCATGAGGCTATTTATCTGGTGAAGTACTCTGTAGGATTTGTGTCATGAGGCTATTTATCTGGTGAAGTACTCTGTAGGATTTGTGTCATAAGGCTATTTATCTGCTGAAGTACACTGTAGGATTTGTGTCATAAGGCTGTTTATCTGGTGAAGTACTCTGTAGGATTTGTGTCATAAGGCTATTTATCTGGTGAAGTACTCTGTAGGATTTGTGGCATGATGCTATTTATCTGGTGAAGTACTCTGTAGGATTTGTGTCATGAGGCTATTTATCTGGTGTAGTACTCTGTAGCATTTGTTTCATGAGGCTATTTATCTGGTGAAGTACACTGTAGGATTTGTGTCATAAGGCTATTTATCTGGTGAAATTCTCTGTAGGATTTGTGTCATGAGGCTGTTTATCTGGTGAAGTACTCTGTAGGATTTGTGTCATGAGGTTATTTATCTGGTGAAGTACACTGAAGTACTCTGTAGGATTTGTGTCATGAGGCTTTTTATCTGGTGAAGTACTCTGTAGGATTTGTGTCATGGGTTTATTTATCTGGTGACATACTCTGTAGGATTTGTGTCATGGGGTTATCTATCTGGTGAAGTACTCTGTAGGATTTGTGTCATAATGCTATTTATCTGGTGAAGTACTCTGTAGGATTTGTGTCATGAGGCTATTTATCTGGTGAAGTACTCTGTAGGATTTGTGTCATGAGGTTATTTATCTGGTGAAGTACACTGAAGTACTCTGTAGGATTTGTGTCATGAGGCTATTTATCTGGTGAAGTACTCTGTAGGATTTGTGTCATAAGGCTATTTATCTGGTGAAGTACTCTGTAGGATTTTGTGTCATAAGGCTATTTATCTGGTGAAGTACACTGTAGGATTTGTATCATAAGGCAGTTTATCTGGTGAGGTTCTCTGTAGGATTTGTGTCATTATGCAGTTGATCTGGTGAAGTACTCTGTAGGATTTGTGTCATAAGGCAGTTTATCTGGTGAAGTACTCTGTAGGATTTGTGTCATAAGGCTATTTATCTGGAGAAGTAATCTGTAGGATTTGTGTCATAAGGCTATTTATCTGGTGTAGTACTCTGTAGGATTTGTGTCATAAGGCTATTTATCTGGTGAAGTACTCTGTAGTATTTGTGGCATAAGGCTGTTTATCTGATGAAGTACTCTGTAGGATTTGTGTCATAAGGCTATTTATCTGGTGAAGTACTCTGTAGGATTTGTGTCATGAGGCTATTTATCTGTAGTACACTGTAGGATTTGTGTCATAAGGCTATTTATCTGGTGAAGTACTCTGTAGGATTTGTGTCATGAGGTTATTTATCTGGTGAAGTACTCTAGGATTTGTGTCATGAGGCTATTTATCTGGTGAAGTACACTGTAGGATTTGTGTCATGAGGCTATTTATCTGGTGAAGTACTCTGTAGGATTTGTGTCATGAGGCTGTTTATCTGGTGAAGTACTCTGTAG